GGTGTTCTTCCTGCGCTTAAACTAGAATCATCCACAAACGCAAGCTTAATAGGTTGCGTTATCGGACAATTTCCATGCCCTTCAGGATTAAGTTGTTGTCCCTTGGGTACAACTTGCACCTCCGACAACAAATGCATCCATCCTTGCCTCCCTTCTGATATACCTTGCGGTGACGGTTGCTGTTCTAGTAATGAAACTTGTGGTCCTGATAATTTATGCTATGCTAAAGGGATAACTTGTTCTCCCGGTTATTATCAGTGCCCGGATAACATTGGAGGAGGATGTTGCATGAACGGCTGGACCTGTGCACCTGATAAGAAATGTCTACAAGGAGGTACAAACACTACGACCACTACAAGCTCTACAGTCACTGCGAGCGCTACGAGCGCTACAAGCGCTACGGGTTCTGCCATTACGAGCACTACGAGCACTACGAGCACTACAAGCACTACAAGCGCTACAACAAGCGATACAAGCACTACAAAAACTATAAGTGCTACGGATACTACTGGTGTTACGAGTACTTTCGTTGAAGTCGTCACTGCCACTGGTGGCCCTGATGAAACTGATATTAATGCTGGAAATGTTGTCACTAATAATATTATGTTGGCGATAACAATTCTGTTCATACAAATTTGTTTCAATTTATTATAGTACCAATATAGTATATTAAAATATATTTATTTAAACCTTGCTCGATGTTTGAAGAATTTATCGACTGTCGGTACAATATACGGTATTTTTCTTATTCATTAATATTAATTTTTCTTCTTTAACAAGAGAGTTTATTTGATGCAAGATTTTATTTCACATGATGTATGCATTCAAATATCGCTTGAAAGAGTCATCTTAATAAATGCTGCATAATAAATGTTCAAGTTCGTACGTACAATTAGATAAAAATCAACGAGCCTTACTTGTAAACATCTATAAATTATTAAAAAAATTTTATATAATTTAAAATAAAAGTAATATGTACAGTATATAAATATTAATGTCAAAAACTGTACTTTAAATAAAACATTGAACTATTTTAACAAATAAATTTTATTGATTTTATTAAATTTGTTTAATTTTACAACCTATGATAAGAAAACAAGTCGATAAATAATTATTAATAATTAACACAATAAATTTCAAAAATATTTTTTTTCAAAAAGGTTTCTTTAAAAAAAATCGGATATACATGTATATCGTTTAAAAAAATGTTCAATTGAACTAATTGCAAAAAAAATTAATTAATTAATGAAATTAAACAAATTTTCAAATCATATCATAATAAATATATTTAATAAATTAGAAATCTTTATTTAATTAATTTTTGATAGCCATTATTAAAACAATTTGGAAAAAAATTTTTTTTTAACTTGAAAAAATTCTATAAATAAATAATTTGTTTTAATTATTTAAAATTAATAAGAATATTTTTTAATTTTTATTTTTAAAAAATCAGAATCAAAATATTTATATAATTTTAATTATTTTAATTATTTTAAATATATTTTATTTTTTAAAAAAATTTTTTTATTTAATAATTTTGCAATTTATTTTAAGTTAACATTAAATTATTATTATTATTATTTAATCATTTTTTTATAATCTTATTTACAATGTCTTAAAAAAAATTGTAATTATATTTATAGTTATAATTTTATAAACAACAATTTAAATTAAATAAAATTTTAGAAATGATTTTTTTAAAATGTATAAAACAAGTTTATTTATAATTGTTTTTATTAATCTGTTATTATTTTATATTAAAATAAATATTTAAAATAAAAAAATTTTTATAATTTATAAATATAATTTATAAATATAATATAGTTGAAAAATAAAAACTTTTAAATTTTTATAAATTTTTTTATTATAAAAAATTTTTATTTAAAATTTTCAAAATTTAAAATATATTTGTATAAAAATTTTTTTAATTGTTTTTTTTTATTAAAGTTTTATAACTTTTTTAAAATATTAAAATAAAAAACAAAATACATTATATATTAATTAAAATAATTATATATAAAAACTCTCTCCTGATCACGTCCGTTTTGTTAAAAATTTTCCTTTTATGGTAATTTTAAGCAAGAAAAAATGTTT